GGCTGGGGCATGTGGTTACCTGGGGTGCAAGGATGCTCTGGGCAGGAATTGAAAGTCATATTTGGAAGAAGAACAAAGCTCATTATTGGCAAAGTGTGTTAATACCTCTGAGGCCTATGATCAATGTAAAAAACTAGCTGGCCAGCAGATCTTTGATGGGAGAAAGCTGCAAAGCCAGGAGTTAGCAGAATCTGACCGGGAAGAGGAGAGAAAGCACGGAGGACCAGGCAGACCATCGGGGTCTTCGCGTGTGGCCCCTGGGTAGGCGTGCTCGGATATCCTAGTGTAGTTTAAGGGTCTGTGAAAGGCAGTGGACTCCTTGCAAAACTGGGAATGCTACGATGGTACAAGCTCGGGGTGGGTCTGTGTGAAATGGAACACCCGAGCGAGACCGGCTCGGACAACACGTGCTCCTCCGCTGACCTGCGAGGGGTCGAGACGTAGGTGGGGGCAGGATTGTCTCAGTTCCTCATGGTGCCTCCGCTCTGGGTCCAGCTTCTCTGGGACTCGTGTGACTTACCCTGCAGGCTGTCAAGGTGGCCGCCACCTCTGCCCCCGTTGTGTCTTCAGACAGCAGCCACCTGAGCAGAAGAAGGGCGTCTCTGTTTATTAAGAAGAAAAGCTTTTCCACATCTTTCCCTTGAGACCGTTAGCCAGGATGGGGCCACAAGTCCAGGTCCTGACCACAGGGGAGGGCGGCAAATCTGGTGTCTGGCATTTTTAGCTTTTATCAGCCAGGAAAGAAGACGGTCCAAGGAACGGCAATTGCCAGGGTGAAGGACAGTGCTGGCTGCAGTGTTTTAATGCCTTGGGGTCTTTTAGGTCCTGCTCAGAAAAAATAAAGTTCAGCCACGCTGCTCTTTCACATCTCAGCCAACCTGTTGGATTGTTCTCTATCCCTGTTGAAAAAAAGAGTTCCAGAACTACTCTCGGGGCCCCTAAATGTGAGCCAAACAGGAAGCCAGTATTTCCTAGCCTCTTGTTTCCCACATCCTGCTGCTGTCCGTGGAGTAACCGGAGACGAGAACTCCGCGCTGAGGAAGAAGGACGGTCTGGGCGGAAATGCAGCTACCAGTCATCGAGCATGTGTGGGTCATGAACTGTGCTGACAATCAGACAGTCTGTCACATGCCAGCTACCACGTGACGAACAGTCCGTCTACAGAGTGAATTTTAGTATCAGATCTGCTCTGAGTGTCTGCTTTTGTCCTGGCTTTCTCCGCATCCAACTGGTTTTATTTGACACTGCTATGCATGCGTGTATTTAATAAGCTTAAAGCTGTTCTGGAGCAGGACTGAAATTTATACACAGTATGCTGGATTGTTCAACAGCCACCTTTGTTACTGGAGGAACAGAATCCACTGTGTATTCCAGAGTCGCCTTCCCTCTGTGGTCTGAGTTAGAGTTGGCTGACATGCATGAGATTAGAGAGGCAGAAAGGAAGTCGTGGCGTTTTGCTCTGAAGCACTTTGCAGGCTGATATGGTGATAGCCGGATGCCTGGTATCCGGTGGCTTCCAGGTTGTCCTTGCTGCCTCCCTCCAGTGTCCAGCTCTTTTTTCTGATTGTTGGTGCATCTGAATGACAATCAACCACCAGACACGTGGCAGTGGATCTGCAGTGCCCTGTCCCCGCATCCCCGCCACACACAAGCAACCCTACTGCAGCGCTCCTCAGCGACCCACCAGCACTTGGCTTTCCTGTTTCCCAGCCGGTTCTGATCAGCACGTCCCGCCAGTGCTTCAGGAGGTCTGGACAGCGAGTTTTCCCTGAGTGTCTCACCCCCCTTCCAGACTCTTGCGTTCTGAGCTCCTCCCATGATTCTATCATGTCCCAGTACTCAGTCTGATCCCATAATACACACGGCCACGCTCCCTCCCGAACACAACTTGGCTAAGACAGATGCTACTCAAACGTACAGAACGTTGGCTTGCATTTACTTTCTCTAACCTACGTTTGGAGCCCCCATTTCTACCAGTGATGGGAGGGGAAATGCTACTTAACTTGCCCAATTAAGGGAATTCTGCCTCTTACAGTTTAAAACACTCATGTCTAAGTTGACTTAAACTGGCTTACGTCTCGCTCCCTCCTCTTTTTCCCGGGTATGCAGTCCCCGGGTACCAGGGGAAACCTGCCCATACTCCTCCTGTTGATCTCTGCTTTGGTGCAGCCAGGCTGTCCCTGGATGCCCTGTGCTGCTCTCCCTTGAGATGCGGCTAATTCCAAAAGGTCCCTTGGGCCAATGCTGGAACCTTCTGCTAGATTCCAAGGCTCCCGACATTTACCTCCACTGATGAGGCAGGCGGCCACGCTCTCGGCCCTCATCTCCTGATTCTGGGTCTCCGCTGGCCCACCTGTCCTCTCAGCATCTCCACGGCCCCCTCTGCCTGGACACTCCTGGTTTCCTGAATTCCAAGCCCAGGCTGTGGGGGAATCAGGGCCTGCCAGGACCATTTAGGGAGCTTCTAGGAATTTAGGGAGAATCCAGAAGCAGGGAGGAGGTTTCTAAAAGCCTCCAGAAGGCTGAAGAGTGGATGTGGTGGGAATGGAGACATGCCTGGGAAGGCAGGGACTTGAGACAGAGGTTTCTGAGGTGGAGCAGTTCCTGGAGCTGACGGCTCAAGGACCTCCCCTGGGAGTGGGGATGGAGTGAAACGGCGTGCAAACGGAGCTCAGGGGGACCCACCTTCCCTGGTGGAATAGTGCCTTGTCACGTGTGCTGGGGAGTGAGTGTCTTCAAGCACAGCAGCCAGGAAGCCCTAGGATTTGGGCGGAAAGCAGAAGGAAGCTTAGGAGAGTGGAACAATCTTGGACTTTGTAAGTCAACTCCAGAGTTAAATCCTGGGTCTTTGCTTAAATATCTAAGGTCGAGGTAGATGATTTCTTTGAGCCTTGCTCTCACCAGGTGTTACACGGGAACCACAATGTCCCTTCCGCAGGATGCCTGGGAAGTAGCAGACAGCCGGTACTTGGTGCATTGCAGTCCACTGTCAGCCACAGTCATCACCCCTCACTAGCTGTGCACAGCCAGAAAGGAAGACAGTACAAACGCACCACTGTATTTCCTTGACGTGGCCCCCTCACACTTCCCTTGGAGTTCTAGAATCCAGAAGGCGTATGTGTTGATTGTACTTCACTCCCACTTTTGGTCTTTTTGTTCTCTTATTCTAGCAATGGCTCCATCTTATAATTTATGGTACCTTAAATCCAGGAAATATATTAATTTACTGCTACTCCACGTAGGTGCAATGGGAGAAGTTCAATGTTCCTTTTCTCTCATTTTGCCACTAGAGGGCGTGCCCATCTGCTATTGCTGCCCCTGCTCCTCCCCAGGCACGATCTGCCAGTGAAAAATTAAGAAATAATTGAATTTTAATGATGCATACATAGCTGAAACGTTGAGATGAAAAAATAAGGTAGGTTTGGACGGACGTTCATCAAAATGCAAACTTTCAAAAACAAGGAACTCCTGAACCTCACGCGTTAAGTATCTCCTTCACCCCATGAGACCGTAAGCGCCTCGCCTTCAAGGACCACTTCGTAATGATCTCTGTATGTCCACAGGGCTTAGCCGAGTGCCATGCCTGGTACATGTCTTTCTGATAAATGATTTAAAAATTGACGCTGGGGAAGAGAAAGGTCCATGTGGATTCATGCGGCATGCCACGTTAATAAAAGACTAAGAAAAATCGTAAGAAAAATAGATGCCTCCATTGTGAAGAGTACAAGAAGAGATTAGCTTGAAACAGCAGCATGAGGGATTCCAGTGAGACTTAGGGAAGAACTTCCGGACACAAGCTATGAATGGGAGTGGATAACAGAGAACGAAGGTACTCCCCCCAACCCTTTCCTACTTTCATTGGTCAGGAGGAGCCACTGAATGGGAGCATGGGTCTAGCTGAATTTCCAAGCTCATTTCAGCTCCCTTTGAGTCTGTGAATGTGTTTTCTTCACTTATTACAAATCATTGCTGCTCTCTCACTGACGAAAGCTAGCCTTGACAATTTTTTTGGAGACTTCAAAGCATTCTCCAGCTGGTCTTTACTGTCAGGGGCTGGTGTGGATTTTCTGTAGATGCAGAAAGCTGAGACGCCGCAGAGGCTGAGTAATGGGCGCAAAAACCTCCCAGGGTTTCAGAGACGGAGCGAGCTGGGACCCTCCCCACAGTCCAGAGTCTGGTCTTTTTCATATGAGTTTTCTAAGCCAAACAAACAAAGAAGACTTGTTTTGCACAGAAGGGAAAAAATCAAACCAAACCAACAACAACTTTGCCTGGCCTTTAAAACCCCTGTAAGCCTCAGGGCTGTTGGCTGTTGGCTATATTTTGTAATAACTGTGATCTTGTGACTAAAGAAGAATGTTGATCAGCCTGGGGACGCCAACCTCCATTTGTTACCCGGTTGCTAAGTGACAGCCAAAGAGGATTAGCCGATGGTAGATCACAGGTGCATGGAAATTTCTGCCCTGTGCTTTTGTTTGTAGTGATGAAAAATAGTTTGGAGCAATTTAGGGGAAAAAAATCCAACTCTCTTCTGTGTCTTTGGCTCTTGGGTGGTTTTTAAAGAAGCCCCTCTCTGTCCCAACAAACCCAAAGATTGGAAGACACAACAAACAGATGTCTGCAGTCCCGAAGTCCCTCTCACACTTGGCTTGGCTTTCTCATCTTCCTGTCATCATTTCTTTAGCTAGGGCTGTGTGTCTGATGAAGGCACAAGACAGATTGTCCAGCTTTACATAGTGAGGAATTGCGCCAACCCTCAGTTTACTCATCCATAAAAGTGGGAGAAGATAATAGGATGTCTCTCTAGGATTGTTGAGAGGATGAAAACAGATTTGTATGAGAGATGCTTCATTAGCAGAGTGCCTGCCCATAGAAAGTACCCAGTGAGTACTGGGTACTATTATTATTACCACTTCTATTGTCATGTACCAGTGTCTCTCTGTGGCTTCAGAGTGTGATTATTCCAAAGTGACATGCACATTTATTTTCCCCTCTTAAAGACTGACTGCAGTGACAACAAGTTCTGAGAAGCACCCAGTGGTGAAGGCCACCGCATGTGAAAGCTTCACCCAGCATGGGCCGCACACTGTGGCTGGCTCGTCTGAAAAGTGGGCCATTAAGCCTGCTGCAAGTGACATTGTCACAAAGGTCAGACGGAGCGGTGGAAATACCTATTCCAAGTCCCCCTGTATCCTTGCAATTCCTGAAAATAATTTAGGAGTGTCACCGTTTTGTAACATTAAAGCGCCCCATTAATCCACACATGGCACTGCACGGCGCTGCTTCTTAATGAACTCCACCAGTAACCTGCTGTTTACAGTTTTTGCACAATTAACAACACTGCAATGACCATCCTTCCGCACACATCTTGTCTTAATTGTAAGGTTATCTCCTCATGTGAAATCTCAGAAATTGAGCTTTTAAATCTGAATATCTTTTTTTTTTAGTATACTTTGTTTTTTTATTATACATCTTTGAGTTACACAGGTATGTGCGTTTGTCAAGACTTAACAAATGTATACTTACAATTGGTACATTTCATTGTCTGTAATTTTACCTCAGAGGGAAAAAATATAAACAAATCTTGAACTCGAGTTAAAGATCTGCACACTGACATTGTTAGCGGGGAGTGTACTTACGGCTCTCCAATTTAATTTGAAATTCATAGAAAAGAAGGTGGATAGATAGACAAATGGGTGGGTAGATAGACATGTGATAAAGAAAGAAGAGTAAAATATATGATGGAATTTGGTGATGGAAATAGGGGTGTTCTCTGAAAATTCTTTCAAATTCACTGCATAGATG